TCTACAGCTTTGAGGAGGATGAGTTTCTTCCAAAGTGCATAAGGTTTAGAGGAGGTGTAGGACCCTGCTGTCCCTTTGATGGGAATCTTAGCTGGAATTTTCAGATTTCTTGTAGTCCTGTTATAAATCCTCTAAAAAAGTCTCCTCTCCCTACAGACAATTTCTTTTCTTTCTGCTGTACCGTTATTCAGTCCATTCAGCTTCTCCAACACTGCCATAGGAGTCCCTTATTCCCCCTTCCTTTTTGGGATCCCTGTGCCACATATAATGTTCCGTTGGGAGTAACCTTAAGTAAGAGATGATGTCTCACCTTCAGTCTGTTGAGTGGCAAGTGCTGATTAAGGCATCAAGCTCTAGTTACTTTTATATTTGTACATCTGCTTGCTAAAGTGCAATTCTCTGTGTATATTCAATTTTTTTCCCCAGTTTTTCTGGAAGTAAATTATAAGTGACTTTCCAAGTAAAAATATCTACATTTTTATAATTTTTCCCCTCATCTCTATGCCAAGTGTATCTTGGCTCTACCCAGAGACTTGATTAAAAATATCAAAACTCACTTACCAGTGTTCAGGGGCTACATTTATAGCATCTGACTTGAATGTTTGTTTCATAGTCTGGTTTGTAACAATCTGATTCTCAGACTGCAATTGACGTCAGTTTAATAGGAAAATTCAAATGAACCTCTATTAGATTTTCGCTATTAAGTTAACAATAAAAACTTTCTACAGATGCCTTACGCAGACAAGGCTGCTAACAGAAATATTACATTAATAAAAATCAGACTTCCAGAAACAGAGAATAACTAAAAAAACCCAACAATTTTGTTTTCCATTTTCTAGCTCACAAAAATATTTGTTTTATAGTTGCACTAATGGTTTAGATGTTAAGAATTGAGAGAAGACAGCTCTTGGCCATTCGTGGTCATGTTGCAAATCTCTTGGCTTTTACAGAGCTGGAGAGCCCTTCCAGAAGTGTGTGTTTGACCAGTTTCATTGCTCTCAAATTCATCTTTCCCTCTTCGGCACACCACCTTTGCCAGCTCTTTCTAACCTGCCCAGTCCAGCTGCTCACAAGGTGCTGACAGAACCAGAAAAACTCTAAAACTCTGGGGACACCAGATTGGGTCAGGACCACATCTGCAGGGTTTACAGCCTCTGCCCCACCTGTAGCTGTCTGTAGTTCCTGCCTTGAGGGCTGTGCAGATGATGGAGTGAGGAAATAATGCTGTTGTTCATCTACAATGGATATTTTCTGGCAGATACCAGACTGTGCATGGTCACCTGTGGCACGTCCAGGTGGCTGGACACTCAGACACAGCAGGAGCCAGGGACTCAACAGGAAGATCCCAGACTTCAGCTGTGAGTGGATAAAAGCCCAGCAGTTCCTTTGCTTGGATTCCCTCTCCAAGGCACCACCCTGAGCTGTTTCTCTGCTACTGAGCCATGAATAAACTGCTTTAAGGATCCAGAGTTCTGAGACTCTGCTCTAAGAAACCTGGGATAGAGCTGGTGAGGAAACCTGTTCTGCCTGTATGGAGGTGCAAAGGGGCTTTCATCCCAGCTCATGGGGGTGTGAGGGTGATTCCAGAGTGGCTCCTGGATTTCTGGTCAAGGAGTATTCCCTAACAACCAAGGTAGGCTTTGATTTTGAATCTTCATCCTACAACCAAAACATGAGCCCAGCCTGTCCTGCCTGTGGAACTGAGGCTCTGTGCGCACCAGTGTATTTCCTTTTTAGTTTCATCTTGTCTCTGCCAGCTGAAATAACAAGGCTTTTGAGACACAGCCACATTGTGCTCCATGGTTTAAGGGTTTATGTTACTTTAGCAGTGTTTAGCAGGTACGCTGCACAAATAGGCACAAAGAGTTGCATTAAGGGTTTTGCCATGAACTTTCAGTGTGTTCTATGGGGAAATGAAGGGTGCTTTCTATTTGCCTTCCCTCTATCCCCCTGTGATTCTGTGAGGTGTGTTTTGGATGAATGTAGACTTAAACACCGCTATTTTACTTGTCTGCCACTGAGATGACAATGTTCCACTGAAATGTTTGACAGGCTGAAGTAGCTGACAATTATTTCACATGTGCAGTGTTTATCTCCTGGTGCTCAGTGTGACAGCTCAGAAGTGACACCAACATTGGGTGTGTGAATCTCTCTGTTCCTCCCATCAGCTGTCCTGCTAGCCTGCAACTTTTAAAAAACACTCTGTGGCTTTTCCATCCCAACAGAGGCCCTCTGTTCCAAGTCACGCTAGGTAACTCTGTGTTTCCTCACCCTTTTCCATCCCCTGGCAGGACAGTGTCCAAAAGTGCAGCAGGAAGTGGGGACCAGGGGGTTATATATCAGTAAAAATTGAAACTACTGTTTTTAATTTCAGCCACATCAGTCTGCTGAGGATCTTGTGAAAGGTCATACATATTTCTCAGAGTAGTTAAAAGGACCAACAGCATCTGTTAATCTGACTTGGGGTAAATACAGCACAGGGCTTTGAAGAGCCCTGCCAGAGTAGCTGTGTGCTCTTGTTTGTATTTTGTTTGCAGATTCCCATGAAGAGAATCCTAAGCCATGAAGAGCAGTGTCCTAACCTAAAACACCTTGGGGCTTAGAGTTTTAAAGCTTTACAAATGTATAATCATCTATGCTTCATCTTCTGATGATTTCTTTAGGTAGTCACATGGTCAAAGACTAATTTATGCTCTGTTCGTGTAGGGATGACTAAGAAAAACTAGCTTTTTCTCAGGCAGGCAATGCATGTGTTGCAGAGGCACTTCAAATATAAACTGGGCACACAATTACTAGGGAGGCTCTGAATGCTTACTAGGAAAGTGATAAATAGCATATTTGCTGTAAAAGACACAAATATCAAAAGGCAGATAGTTTGATGGCAGGTGGGAAAAGCTGCTTTTTTTTTGTTATATTATGCTTTGAAAAAAAATCCCTAAGACTCAAAGCCTTTTCTCCTGTTTACTGCTTACAGTGAAATGCAGACTGATCTGTTTCCAAGTGGGTTTGGCTTTCTGATTTCCATGGTTCAGCACAGTGCTTTGCATTACAAAGTCAAAGGCAGCTGTAATACGTTCAGTATCTCTGTTTCCTCTTACAAAATTAATTCTTTGAATTTTTGGCAAAATGACTGTTCATTTGTCAGTGTCACCTTAATCTGCAAAACAGATAGCGAGCAGCTCAGTCTACTTTTTCTCCTCTTTGTTTAAAGAAGTAGACAAAATAAAATAAAATTTGCTGAGATCTTTTCTGATTTTTCCAGAATACAAATGTTGTTTTCTGTATCTATAAGGTTACATTTCTGCAGTGAAAGTAATTTGTGAAGGCTGTAGGGAATGCCATGGTGAGATTTTCCTTCCATACTGATGTTTAGGTGAAGTGTTAAATGCAGGGTCTCTTATTAATGAGCCAGATGCCTATTTCAGATGTGGCTGTGGATTTAACTTACTGTGCTTGGCTTAACAGGCCTCTTCTAGGTCTGAATTATTCCAACTAGGAAAAAAAAATATTCTTAAGAAATCCTGCAGTTATTTGGACTGAAAAGTCCCTTCTTTCCTATTAGCAGCTGAGATTTATTTTTCTGTTTAACTAGCTGGATCTTTTGTTCATGAGAATTGGCATCCTGCAGTGGCATGGTGTGTGTCCAGCAGTGAATTGTGATGTCAGGGCAGAGACAGCAGTGTGATTTATTATCAGACTGGCCAACTGGTGAGCTTTGTGAAGCTCAGGCAGCCCACACAGGTTCAGGGATGGGTGACCTTGGGCTTCCCTCTCCTCCTGCAGAAGTGAAACTTGGGGTAGAGCCAGGCTGGGGAGGTCTGGCATGGTCCAAAGCATGTGTGGCCTCGTGGCTCTGTCTGCACCTGGCCACAGGCCTGCATGGGTGGCTCTGGTCAAGCCCAACTTACACCATAGGTGTTTTTTATCAGCAAGTGTTTTTAATGGTGACATTTTTCTTCTGCAGTATGGGGAATAATAGAGCTGCAACTTGTTAATATTATTTGCAGCAAGCATAGTGACAACACAGTGTTTCTCTTCTTCTCCTAATCCAGCCAGCTGACTGCAGTGCTGCTTCAATTCGGGACAAAAATCCGGGTTGTGGCTGCCAGAATTCAACAGTTCAGCCTCCCCACTGGGATGGCTGGTGCTGATACCTGAGCCCCCTCAAAGCTGTGGGTGAAGGCTGCTGCTGGCAGCATGGCTGGGCAGAGGCGACCTGTGTCTCTGCAGAAATGGGTGCCCCTTTGCTCTCAGCTCCCTGACAGTGCTGGGACTTGTTTTGCCTAAGCAGGGAGCCAGAGTGATGCCAGCTCTGTTGTCAAAAACAGCTGGGTGTGAGGTGATGCTACATGAAAGCTTCTGAAGAGCAAAATGCACTCAGACTATTTGAGGTAATCAGCAGCTCTGTTACCCTGGGCAATCACAGTAAAACAACACCTACCATCACAGAGGTTGTTCTGCTTTTTTTTTATCCCATGTTTTTCAGAACAGTAGCATGCCTGCAGTAATTCCTAGGTGGTCTCTGTGTGTGTGTGGTGATGTCAGCAGCTTGGGGGATTAGCTTTGCTGAAGTTTACATCTGCTGACTCATCTGTTTAAAGTTGATTCTTAATTTTCAGAGGGTAATAATTTTTCTCCCCTCATGCAACAGCTGAGAAGAAAGAGATGATTATGAGGTTTAGCACGGGCTACCACAGTACGGGGTTTCCTTGCAGTCTTTTAACTCACTGCATATTTTAATGGCTGCAATATACAGAAAGCCTCAGTTTCATGGTTCTTCTTGGACCTTGTCCAGCTTCTGCTGTGAAAGTACAATTCAGCAGAAGCCCTTTTAGAATATTTACTTATTTTTAGTATCTGAGAGTTTGGCATGTGGTATCCTGGATCTTCAGAAGAGTCCTAGCAGTGGTGCCTTGGCACTAGTGAATGCTTGATATCTCTGTTAGGGGTTTTTTTCCACTGGTTTTTTTCATTGGGTTAAAAGTTAAAGCCCCCTCTGCTTTCCTGCTCTTAAAATCCAGTTTTGCTGCTCTTCTCTCCCTCCCCTCAACACCCCTTTGGGAACAAGAAGGAATGGTGTCTCTGGCAAGGAAACAGGTAAGGTTTGGTTGGTAAGTGGAACTGATTTAATTAAATCTCCTTTTCAGCCTCATAATGGAGTCATTCAGGAAGGCAGAGGAGTAGGAATGTGGCTTCTGAGTCTTTTTTTTTTCTCTCCTTTCTCTTTCCTTTTTCCATCCCTGCAGTCAGTGAAAGAAAAACGGCTTTCTACACAAAATACCCCTTTTTCTGATTATTTAAAAAATAGGCTATATTAAAATCAAAATCTAATTTTTATTAGCACATCTTTGCATTCCTGAAAACACTAGAGCAGCTTTGATGAGTGTATAGTATTTGCTCTAGACACATGCCAGTATAAGAGTGAGAATTCCAGATCTGTCTAACACCACCTGAAACCTCACAAATGTTGAGCAATACAAACTCAATGCCACAGAAGTCTGTTTTCCATCCTAATTAGCTCATGGTCTTGTATGATTAGTTTTACTCTGCCAGCTCACTTTGGTTTTGTTATTTTGACAATTGATGTCAATACTAGCATTGCTCAGAAAAACTGGACTTGGAATTTTGTCAAAATGTTTTTTTTTTGTTTGTTTTTGGAGCCAAAGTATTTTGCAAGATTCATCAGTTTTACTATTTTTTTCAGGGGAAAGTGATAGAGAGCTCTGAAGAAACTCAGAAAGAGAATGTGTGTGCACGTGAGTGTGCACATGCATGGTAGGCTGTTAAGGGACTGGCTTCAGATGTGAAGACTTGGTTCAGCTTCCTGGTCTGCATGGTATAGAGCAATGAAGAATGCAAAACTACTCTCTGACCTTTGAATTGGGTGGAGTGAAAATTCAATCAGTGCTTTCTTACTGCTAGGAGATTGCTCTGACTAATGGTTTGCTTGTTTGAACTGGAGAGCAGGGATTTTTGATTTTCAGAATGGAGTTGTCACCCCAGGATCAGCTGGAAATGTTGGGCAGAATCCTGGTCTTTCAACAGAAGGGATGATTTGTGTGAATAAATCTGAAGGAACTAACAGTGGAGCAGGATGGTGGTTTCTGGTATTTATGCAGTGCCAGAGAACATCTGTGTGCCCTGAGACATGGGTACACTGAGCTGGCCTCCTTACTAGAAGCAACAATTTTCTCCAGTTGAGCAAAACAAACCCTGGCTGACTCCCTGACTATATTCTGGATATTTGAGCTAGCTCTGTGCTGCAGTGCAGTGAGTTTAGAAGAGTCCCTAAGTCCAGTAAAATTGTGCATTTAGCTGCCTGTTGGTGTATGCCCACCTCCAGAGAAGAAGGATGAATCCAAGTGTCTCTTGCTGCCAAGCTTGTTGGAAAACACCACTTCCCACTAAGTTTGGTGCTGTTGTGGGTATTTATTGTGGCCCTGAGAAGGCAGAGAGCTGCACTGCCTGTGTGTGGGAAATGGATTTGTTGAGAGTTTTTATAGTTATGTGTTAGTATGTAAATTCTGCGATAAGAGATGTCAATTTAGAAATGTTATGGAAGAGGACAGATATTGTTGAGAGAGAATTGGAGTTAGAAAAAAGTTTTAAAGGATGGTTTTGTAAATAAGATTAGGTACTTTGGAGAAATAGAATTATGAAAGATCTATTGTAGTAAGATTTGTGACGGGTAGTTTTAAATTATTGGTTTTAAGGTATTTATAATGTAGTGTGGTAAAAAATTGATAGGATAAGAAATATATAGTATTTTGTAATTAAGAAATAGTTGGCTTTGATTGCAGTAGTGTGAATTATAATATTGGTATTGTTTTATTTTTTTATGAGCTTGAAAATGGAATATAAGTTTTTAAAACTTTTTTCTAACTCCATTTCTCTCTCAATAATATCTATCCTATTCCATAACATTTCTAAGTCAACATTTATCTCAAAATTTACATACAAATAAATACTACACAAACCTTATATCAAACCCCAAAAACTCTCTACAAATCCATTTCCCACACCTATGGACTGCTCTGAGTTCCATGGGCTCTCTGACTTAGCGCAGTTTAAACACCCCTATGGATGTGCTGTGCCTCTGCTCCATCAGCCTGCTCTACCTCATCCCTTTCCTGGCTTTGCTGAGAATTTTAAACTTCCTGTGCTGCAAGGCACAGACCCACAAGAAAATAAAACCATAGAGAAAACCTCAAAAATTAATCAATAATGCTAAGATTACTAGTGTATATAGTTTAAATAAAAGTATGTAATATCACAAAGTAAAAACTTAGAGTTGAAAGTATTAAAATATAATAATATATAAAACAGTAGATTTAAAACAGTAGCTAATCCTCTTTCTTAGTAAGTTATAGTATTTTATAGTTAAACAAAAAAGTCCACATTGTGAACTTCAAATAATTAGTTATTAAGTTAAAAACAATTTAAGTGTCATTCCTTAATTAGATAGTTGAACCTTAAACTTGATAAATAGTTAACCATTTTATACCTTGTTAGTAAAATACTACAAAACTCACTACTTATAAAACTATGACATATATAAAAAAATAAATACCTAAATCTAAACACAAACTATCATCTCAAGTACATTCAATCCCAACCTCAGTACAAAAGATAAACCAAAAACCAACACTGGGCATCTTTTAATGCCAGTATGATTGTTACTTAACTTCTTGCCTTCCCATCCCCGTGCAGGAATGGGCACAGATTCCACACACACAGATGAGGAGGGCAGAGCAGAACAGCTTGTTCTCTGTTCCTGAGCAAGGGCAATGATTTACTCAGTGTCTGCACCTCCTGATAGGCTGCTCTCTTATCCACAGAGTGCTTCAAAGAGGCAGAATTACTTGTGCTTATGTGGGTGTCTAGCACAGTGTCAGAACCCAGGACATTCCTCTGACTGCCCTGGAGGACTCCTAGACCCTGGTAGGGGGCTCAGAGACCTTGGCATGGAGTCACAAACACCTGTGCCTTTGATTTTAACCCATAGAAACAGTTACCAACTTCGTGTGAAGATGTACAAGTCACAAAAGTTTGAAGAGAATGATAGTTAATTTGTCACAGAGTGAAAAAGTAGAATTTTAGGGTTTTTAGGATGGGGGTTCAAGATGAAAAATGAAGGAATCTGGGCATGTCCTGTCCTTCTTCTTCTTCTTGTCTTCCATCTTCTACTGTGATGATGACACTTCTGGATTGCTTTAAAGTAGAGGCAGGCTGTCTAACATGAGTAATAAGTATTGAAAAATTATTATAAATAAAGTACACATAATTTTTAGTATAAATAACACCACCCCGAAGGCAGTCAGTATACATCAACCCAACCTGCTGAACAGACCTCTCCAAGTCCAAAAATAATGTATTAGATGAGAGAAAATAAACAGCCTTGAAAACCAAAACTGAAGAATCTCGACTTCTTCAGTTGCAAGGCTGAAAAAAACGACTCTTTAATACCTCGGGAGCCATTTCAGCAGCACAAAACCCAAAAGCACAGTAGGCTGAATGTTGGCTTTGTAAGAATTTTGACTCAAAGTGTAATCTCTGTGCAGGTCCTCTAGCAGCATCAGGTTTGTTTGTTTGTTTAGAATTGTTGTAGATCAGTGATGTCTTCAAAATCTTTATTTCCTCAGCACAAACAAGTCAATGCATATTCCCTATGTGTTCCTGTTCCCATATTGTGCAATCCAGGGCTTTTCTCTCCTTGGGGAAGTGGCCCTGACTCTGTAACCAGAGCCTTTATAATTGCTGTAGAACAGCTGTGCTCAACACGGAAAGGACTTTGTTTGCTTCCACATTATTTATTCATGTATTCTTTTCCTTTTTCCAACCCCCTTGCCCCCAAGTAATGGTGCTTTCTTTTTGTTCTTTTAATTTTTTTCTTTAGACTCCTTTGATGGAGAATTCAGCCTTTCCTACAAAACACCACATTCAGGGGTTTTATGACTCATTTGTAGCTGGAATACCTACTGGGGCAGTACAACAGGCTTGGATGCAATAAAATGAATCACCATGACAAGTTCTACGTAAGAGCTGTTTGGTAAATGTACTGATACAAGAGAATGCCAAATGAAACAATTCCTTGCTTTCTTCCTTTGGCCTGAGCAGTTATTGCCCTGAAAATGAAAGAATTTGATTGTTAATTCCTTAGACATGTTAAATAAATTGAGGCTGCATCAGGAGTAGGTGCAGCTTGCATTGTGCTGTGGTGTTGCAATCAATGTAGAAAAGGCTGAGCTTGATCAGTGGTTTTACCAAGGTCTACATTGACAATAAATTTTTTGGGGAAGTGTTCTTGTGGGTGAAATGAACAGGATATTTTTAATAACTTCTCATTAGTGGGTTTGTACTGGTAGGAGACAGGGCTCCATTTCATTTTAGATGTCTTTTCCAGCTGTGGTCAGTAGCATTTGATACTGCAGAGGAGGGAGAGGAAACCTCGCAGCAGATTGGAAAATGGGTGGAATTTTACTTGAAGCAACTCTGTGAACTGAGTAGCTCCTCCTGAGCCAGCCAGGCTTTCTGGGCTTGCAGCATAGCAGTGAAATGGCAGTGCACCTCTCTGCCCTCTCCTCCCCCTTTAGCCAGCACAGTGGTCTGAGTTAATTTTGGTCAATGTGTCCGTCACTATTACATAGCTGTAGTTTGCTTTATTCAGTGAGAATTATTTTTTAATGAACTGCATGTAATCTGTGTTTCAGTAATGGGAGTTTAACTGAAAACTTAATTTGGCCAAGCAGTGCTTATGCATAGCTTAATATAATAATACATACACACACATGTGCTCTCTTACTTGCACTTTATTCTGTCTCTCATCTTCATCACCAGTGATCCTGTGTTATTTACTGGACTTCAGTTCTGTAACTTGAGAGCCCTCAAGCTGGAAACTACTTCAAAAAAATATTTTTCTTTTTCTCCATGAAAGCATAAAACATTAGAGCTGGACAAAGTGTATCTCACCTTCTTTCATAACATCTATGAAGAAAATGAGTTCTGACAACTACTTTACTTTTCTGGTGGAGGGGATAAAGGTGGTGTGGTCCTCGTGTGGTCATCTGTGTGGTGCTACCACAAAACACATTTGCATC